AATGACTCTGCCTTACTGCAGGCCGACTGCGTACGGAGAGGTTATAATGGACAGCCCCATGGGTTGCCGGAGACCGTGATCGTTCACATACAGGGGAAAACTGCACTGAACAGGGTCATGGAACTTTACTATCACGCACACTTAACGGTGTTCCTGTAACTGCGTCCCGCCAGGCCTTAGGCTGGTTTTACAAGCATTCGGATAAATTCAGTCGAGGCGGAAGGGAGCAGGATTCCATTTTCGAAAACGGTACGGCAAGAATGGCAATCAAATTCAGTTTTGAACGCAGGTTTACGGTTCCATTAGACCAGATTTCACATGTTGACGCTAGTCGAACAACGTAAACATGTGTAACCGTGAATATACAGGGAGAATGGTTAGTATTTTTAACGTCTCGGAGCCCAACGGAAAGTGCACAAAATAGGTCACATCAGGGTAGAAGCGTCCTTATCTTGAAAAAACCTCAGGCCTGGGAGGAAGCGCGACCGTGGCTTCAACAGAATCGGAAAAACGAGCTCGTTGACACTCTGCCGGTATTGTTTTCATATGTGAACGTAGTCGTTAAACCAGTCAGCAGGCTAGCTATCCCCTGCAAGTCAGAAACGATCAAAAACGGATCTCTCAGGAACACTAGCTCCTGAAATCGACTGGTTTTACACATAAGCAGATGGTGTGCCGAACACAATGAAGGCCTCTACTGTTCGATGAAGTATCCTGAACAGTTTAGGCGCGCAGCAAATCGCCGACTGGCTGCACAGTTCAGGTTTCAATGTTCATGAAAAAAGTTCAAAACCAGAGAAGTACGTTTTTTTGCTTTCAATGAACCGCAAGCCGCTATTTTAGCCAGTTCCACCTTGGGTGAGAATAAACAAACTGTCATCTACTGCGCTGTTTACCACGTAAGACACTACGGTTGAACACAAGAATAGTTACCCACCATATAACAGGTGGCTTTGTGCTAAATTCCAGACCGGTTTCTAACCCTAACCTGCCGTGGGAGTTTGGGTAAGGTCACCTCTAATATGGCGGAGTACCTACTGTCCTGTCCTAGCGACATCTCGAGCCGCAAGAACAGGAAGTACATGTTTCCCTTCCGTAACGACGACGTGTCCAAACCGGTTGCCAAGATAATACATGTGTGGAGCCCTGCACCCCCAGTTGGCA